TCTATACTTATGGAGCCACTTTTCAGGCGTGGTGTGTGTGTGTGTGCGCGCACATTTAGACTGAGATATCTGCCAACAACAACATATACCGATGGCCATACACACGCACACCCCGCGCACAACAACAACAACACCCACAACCTTGGAACATGAAAAGGCTCTGTTTGATTTTTCAGAAATGTGTTCAGTTAAACTAACGTATTTATAGACGATCTATCAAATAGTTTTCTACACCTACAGCTAAAAAAAAAAACACTTGGACTTATACATATATGCTTACGATCCCTAAACCTAACTTTAAATCATTTTCACTAACACCAGCTTCGCAAAACGTAAAAATACCAATCTTCTTCTATATATATTTTGTAGTCTTAAGTATAAAGAAAAGAAACGGTTTATATACCTTATACATATTTAATACCTGTGGTTAAGCAATTTTTTAGGATTTTCAAATTTATTTGACCAACAACATCCAAAGCACACGAACCCCATCGATGCACTAGAAATTCTCCGCTGAGCAGTTTGTTTTGAATGTTTAACTAGCAAACGATCTCAACTAAAGTATCCTCACATATTCAGTTGTGTAAGAAGTACTACGTTCGAAAATTGCGGGCAGAGTGAAAATGGAAAGCATTAAAATCGTTTCGAAAGTGCCGAAAAAGGAAATTCGAAATGATTTGACAGCGCCAAGCCCACAAACAGCTGAATCTGATGGATGTATATCTAGGTCTATACAGCTAAACTATAGATAGCGAATATTGGGAACAAACTGCCCGGATTTCTGTTGCTTCGACCGATGTGTGTCCGTCTTACCCGATGATAACAACCGAGCAAAGACAGCAGATCGAACAGATTTCTAGATAACGCAAATCATTATGCTCACACATGCACATACACACTTTTTATGATATACAACTATTGAAAGAAAATGGTTTTTGTTGGTTAATCAAACGAGTTTAGCTGAATCATCAGAAGAGGAGTTTCTATTTTTACATTTAAAAAATAAACAAAACAAAAAAAAACAAAAAACTACAAAAACAAATGAAAAAAATATATATTTTTTTGCTTTACAAATTTTGTTTATATTTTAAAACCCTTTTTAATTATTTTTTTATTGGTTTTATATCCACGCATATAAAACATTCTTATTATTAAACCATTAATACACAAAAGATACAAAAAGCAAACGAAAAAAAAAGATGAACAAACAATTTTTTTTATTATATACAAACAGTGCTGTTTTGAATAAATATGGTTTTTTGGATTTATTTCAAAACGCAGTGAAAAGCGAAAAAAAAACGAAACAAAAAACAAAAGCAAACAAAATAATCTATGTTGGTTTTATTTTTCTTGGTTTCTTTTTCAGATCACATAATTTCTTAACTTAAACGTTGCTTTTGAGTTCGTATTATTATAGTTTAATTGATTTTCTTGCGGTTTTGCAACCCGACCCCATCATTCCATCATTCCAATCCAACGCAAAACTATAAAGGAAAACTGCCCCTTTCTTGAGGATTCAGTAATGTTACATAAATATTATACATAACTAGTTATACACGATCGCGAGCACCTGAAGATTCCTCGAGTGCAGGCGGCCTGAGCTGAGCTCCTCGGGATTTCGGTTCCGTGGATTGGTATCGAAGCCACCGGAACGCCTCAGTCCCCGCTAATGGTTGTAAATACGGACGACGTCTTATATAAGTATTGTAAGTCCTTTGTGTTTTTGTATAATTACGAGTAAAGCAACCAGAAACCGATTATAATGCGTAAAAAAATGAAATTACATCGAGTCCATACCGATTTCGATTTGGATTCGCATTCTGTAAGCAATCGCGTAATTTGTAAACTTTTAGTAGGCAGTGTTTTATACAAAGAAAATAGCAAAAAAAAAAATGCCGAGAGCAACTTAATCTATTTATATAAACTAAAACAAACGCAATCTGTAAATGAAAATTAACATGTTTTTAAATTACACTATAGTTGACTTTTTCCGTGAAAAAAGAAGTAAAACCCAATTAGAAACGAAGGCAGAGGATTTATCGCTTTGTTCAACATTAATATTTGTAAAATATCAATAACCCCAATTAGCAAACCGATCGAAAACGAATTGTGGAAATATAACCATAGCAACTTAACTTGCAGACAAATGAAGACCATTACCCATTGACTCGAACCACTCACTCAATAACAATAATTGATAAGTAAAACGAACAAACCAACAAAATTCGATCTAAAATAATAATAATAAATGCGAACATAATGTTAACGTAGCCGATTAGCCTTTAGATCACATATAGCGCATATTTTACACAAGCGTAGTGAAACAATTTCCCAAAATAAACCTTAAAGCTCCACGAACCCCAACTACACAGATCCATAAATCACCACCTACACCAAGGCAATTGAGGTTTAAGTTTAAACTCCAAGGCATCATCTTAAGTAGTAAAGTTTTAAATTCGAAAAAATTATATACCATACTATCACATATATAAAATCTCAAAATCCAGCAATTAATTTCCTTCGTGTAATGGTAAAAATCGAAATTTTCGACATTGTGTAGATTTTTAAGATCTGTCCCATATCATTTAACTGCCACTGACATTAGATTCATTTTAGAACAATATCAAGAAACTAATGCCGATGTCAAGGATAGTAAGTTGCTTGTCAGAGGTATTCATTTCAAGATTCAGTTGCCACCAATTTGGTCGTAGGATTCCACGAATCCCCACAAGACATGCATACAATTATCCTTGCACCCTGGCGTGTATATAGCCATACACTAGATCATCCGGAGCTGATCGTGATGTGGATAGAGTGCGGCTATATTAGCTATGTAGCTTGCGAATCAACTTCACGATCGGTTCTGCACCACATACATACATATATAGAAAACTCCCATATATATTTACAGATACATATATAAAATTGAAGAGGACATAAATTAATATTTAATCTTAAGTCGGAAATAAAACATTACCTCATACTTTAAAAACTTATGAAGACAGTTACAAGTAGAACACTCGAAAATATATAGATTATATACCATTTACACGATAAATATAGGCCATTTTTTTGTAGCAATCGAACTTAGGCTTTATGAAATTCAATCATTTGTGAAACGAATAGCAGCTATGATTTTCAGCTGTGAGAGAGAAAGGGAAACCGAGGGAAAGTGCAGTTTAAACGGGATGTTCCTTGTGAAGAACTGGAGGTTAGGATTATCTCCCATCCCGGGGAATCCCCCATTGGCGCCTTTCTCTACTCATGGCTCTTTGTACATGTTTGCACTGTAAAAATAAAATATTAAACATATAAATATATAAATTGCTTGCTAAAAAAGTTTAAACAAACGAATGGAAAACGCGCAAAGTTTAACATAAAATATATACATACATAAAGCGACGTTATTTATATATACGCCTACAGAAACATGCAAAAAAACTATTATATACAAAAAAAATATATACATACATATATAAAAATATATATATATACAATACTTATTTACATTGCGTATTTTAGCGTTTTATTCGACATCGGAAATAAAAATAAAACCAAAAACCAATCGTAGAAACGCTACAAAAGTGTTCTTTTTAACGAAAAAAAAAATAAATAAAAATAAATACAGAGAGCGAAAAATAGAATATTAAATTAAGCAACAGAAAATATTTATACACTGAGAAGCAGCGGCGAGTTAAAAGTTTGAATATAAAAAACAGATGGGTGAGCGACAAATTTTTAATTGTATATTTAATTTTACAAAAGCAAATATGTTTTTTTTTATCAATCGCTGTAAATATCAAGCAACAAAATTTTCTGGCGGGCTTTTTTGAGTTTTTTTTTTATTTTAAACTGTCTCCACTATTCGGGTAGAGCCCCCAGACACGCCCCCTGAAACCTACACCACTACAATGCAAAGCTTTAATTCATTGCCACACACACACTAACAACCACACAGCAATGCAAAAGTGCTTTAAACATAAAAAATATGTTTCTCTTAAGTAAATTTGAAAACTTTATACAAACAGACGAAACTCAAGAACACAGAAAACAAGAACTCTGCCAAAATCAAGCTAATACAGACGACAAAATAAAAATAAAATAAAAAACAGAAATCTTCTCTAAAAAATAGCAACAAATTGTAAACAAGAATATAATACGAAAATAACTAATTATACATAAATGATTGAATAACGAGTTGATGAGCAGAACGAATAACAAGAATGGAAATTAAAAAGCTTATTTTATATATTCAAACATACAACAATAAAATAAACCAAAATGACCATTAATGAACTAAATTATATACGAACCGAAATATAGTGTATATGAATGATTTTTAACCATGTAAAGAATTTGAACCAGTCTCTTTCGAATTTTATTCGTTTTCAAATGATCCGAAGAGCAAGAAGCAGCAGCACACAGAGTTAGGGAGGGAGAGAGAGGAGAAGGGCTAGAGCAGCGCATTATTATTAACTAATTTAATATGCAATATATCTACTATATTTCAAAAAAAACAAAATAATACAGATATATGAACGAGGAAAATAAAAATATACACCGCAAAGGAGAACATAAAATGAACACATTTTAAAACAATGAAAACGAAACAGAAAAAATTAAAAAAAAAACACTCAAATAAAAAAGAAAAACAAAAGAAAAAAAACATAAAAACTGTTTGTTTTTCTCATTTATTAGTTTAAGTTTGGATCAGGCGACAACCCTGTTTGAGACTATCCTCCGATAGTGGCAACTATTTTGTCGATATTTGCACAGAATCTAGTATATTTTCCGATTATTAAAAATCGTTTAAATGTCAGAACACGGACTATTTGTAATATGATATCTATAAGTATCCATTTGTTTTATCTAGTCCCATTTATTTTCTGCCGAAGGTAAGGTTAAAAAGGAAAGGTTTAAATTGAATTATCTCTTGCTCTTTAAATTAGTAAGCTTAATTTCTGAATTTTGTGCCCGCCTAATCGTTTGTTATGGGATTTGTGCACACTTTGGCCACACTACCCCACACTGTTGCACTAGCCAATCGATTAGCCCGATAGGCTGTGTCAAATAACGCCTCCTGCTATCGATATCAATCAAGAAAAAATAAAGTTTATTAAATAGATTTGTACATAGGAAATCGCAAAGCGCGGAGCGAATAAAAAGCTGGGCTAGCCGAAAAAGCCAACCAAGTTGGTGGGCTAAAAGAGTGAATTTGAACCACAGTTAAGGAAATCGCGGACAAGGAGCAGCAGGAGGAGTAGCAGCTGACCACCAGTGGACCAGTGGAGGAGCGACCGTGCGAGCGAGCGGAGCGTAGCAGAGCGGTAAGAGCAGAGTAGCGTTCAGTTCACCGTTTAGCGGACATGAACGAGGAAATCGTGCGGGAGCAGCGCGGTGGCGAGGATTCCTCATCCTCCGTCTCTCCGAAAAGTGCAACGGCAGCGGCGTCGGCGTCGATGACGTTGGCCTCGGCGGCCTTGGAATCGCACACGACGACCACCATCACAACCGCCAGCAGCAACCCCCCCACCAGTGGAGCAGGTGCATCCACCTCGCCATCCTCTCCATCTGCATCTGCATCGGCATCAGCATCAGTATCAGCATCGGCGTCCAGTGGGCAGGAGAAGCAGGCTATGCAGCTGCCCCTGCTGAATGCCACCGATATGCGCGAGCTGCGCGAAATCAAGCAGTTGCTGTGGGGCGACAATGTGCGCGAAGATGTATTCAAGCGTTGGTCTCAAGGTAACCACCCAATAAACAGCCCCGTCTCCCCATCTCCTCATCCCCCATGCACATAGTGTGCAGCACCACCCACAGTGGGGTAAAAAGCGCGCCCTTTTGGCTCTCAGCAAAACTGCGTCCAGTTGGAATAGGCGCTTCTATCTTCAACTTGGCCCAGGTCATGTTCATTCATATTTACTCTTGCTTTTTAACTGCAATCGATTTCCTTTTCGCTAAGAATAAAAACTTATCCCAGGTCATGTTTAAAGTATTCCTGCCAAGAAACAAACATGAAGATTGTAAATACTCCATATCTTTCAAATCACTACCAAGATTTATTACGTCGTATTTCCCAAGATTTATTTCTTCTTTATCTGAGTGTTTTAGAATTAGGCATTTATTGATTATTTCCTTTACAAGTAGTTATAGTTATTTATTTATGACTAACTACGATTAGAGACAAAGACAAGTTAAAACCAGTTTACCTGTCATCAAATTTTGAGATTAATAATTCTAATTTCTATACTCTTTGTTCAAGATAAAAGTTAGTTAAGATAAGAGTAAAAAATGTTATCTTTTAAGTACCACTCCCTATTATCATAGACATTACCTTTGATTTTGCTGCTATTAAAAATGAATAGGTGATTAGACATAAGTAATGCTGGTTGGGCGCACACAATTGTAGATATGAATATAAACGATTTTGTAGCTTTATAAAGGTTTGCTACAGATTACCGCAGTTATTGTCAGCTTATGTCTTTAAATTCGCTCCCATAATACTTTTCACATTTCAGTATACACCTTCTAATTATACTTACACTAATTTCCCCACCAGGATTCGAGTTTAGTAAAGTGGAACCGTCCGCATTGGTGCAGAAGCAGGGCGGTCCTTGTGCTGTGATAGCGCCGGTGCAGGCGTACTTGCTTAAGATTATTATCATGGACTTGCCAGGAGTCAAGCTGTCGGAGGTGGGTCAACTTCTACTAGGTCAACTTCTCTAAGCACTAATCTCCCCAATTAAACAGATTACCCTCGACAAATCGCAGAACCTGCTGATCCAGGCATTGTGCAACATCCTGAAGAACTGTCGGTCGCCGCGCTACCGCATCGTCCATCTCTTGCGCCGCCGTGGAAATGCTACAGAGGCTGGATCAACCAAAGAGCGCTCACCGACCGGCGAGGCAGGATCTGCTCCAGCTGGCCACGCGGCAGGATCTTCCGAAGAGGTGGAGGTGGCGGCTGAAGCCACTCCCGCCTCGGTCAACGAGTTATCCCAGGTCCTGCAGCTCGATCAGGATATGCATCGCGAACTGTCGCCGGATGAGTTCCACGAGCGCCTGCACACGCTCCACTTTGAGGATATCGCCGCCGTGGCCCGCTACTATATGGAGAACTACGACCAGCTGTCGCACACATATGGCGTACTGCTGTTCATGTACTCGGTGTTCCTCACCAAGGGCGCAGAGCTGGTCGCGGCCGATATATCGGACACGTCGGAGCCCCTGATACACAGCACGTACGGCTATGGCGGCCAGTCGCTCATTAACCTGATGTTAACTGGGCGAGCCGTTGCCCATGTCTGGGATAATGAGCAGGATGTCGGCGGACTGAAGCTGCGTGGCATCTGTGAGCAGAGCGACATCGGCTTCATAACACTGATGGAGCAGATGCGTTACTGCACAGTGGGTTCCTTCTTCAAGAACCCACGCTTTCCCGTATGGGTGATGGGTTCCGATACGCATTTAACCGGTTAGTCATCCAAAACTTTACCCTAATAGATAGCGCTTTGTGTCTTTGTGCCTTTGCCCTTGGGCTCGTACTAATTGCAGTGTTCTTATCTCTCCCCAGTTCTGTTCAGCAACGAAAAGAGGCTTGTCTCGCCAGAGACGCCCTCGGAAACTGGTCGTCGCATCTTCAAATCCTACGACCCGGAGGGCAACAATTTCATATCGACAACTATGCTGCGCGAAGTTCTGGCAGTCTTGAATCTGGTCAGCGAGCCGGCCTAGTAAGCTTAACCCAGAGTCGTTTCCCAAGGTCGGGTAATAATCCCTCATTTTGCAGTGTGGCGCTCATGCAGAAGCGTCTTGATCCGGAGAACTTGGGTATTATACTGCTGAATGCGTTCATGGACGAGTTCTTCCCGCTGGAGCGCCGCTCTACGCCGGATACGTTTGAGCTGATGCACTACAACGGCATACCGGGCTCCAATGAGAATAACAAGGTAAGTAGTTTGCAAATCTTGTCGTTAACTGTGATCGTCAATTTATTTTGGGAGCGCCTATTAACGACTGCTGTTTGCAGGTGCGCTACTATTGCGGCTCGGCCATTTTGCTGGAGGGCGATCTGAAGTCGATCTGCACCTCGAACCCGATGGTCACCTGCCTGCAGACCAAGTGGCCAAACATCGAGATAAGCTGGCACGACGCCCACATGCCCTCCTTGAATTGACGACGTCAAGGGGGTCAGAAAAAATCGCAGCAGAGGGTTGACCAGTGCCATGCACATTTTGTGGTGGAGGAACCAATGCTGTATAAACAAGAAGACGCGATTGCACGTTTTTATTTCACACACACACTTCAATTGTTTTTTTTTGTATTTACTTGAAAATATTTTAAAAACTGCTGGAGTGGAACGCACCAACCAAACCCATTAACAAACATAAAAACAAACAAAATAAAAACTTAAAAGAAAAATAGCAGCTAAACACTAACAGATTCGCTTCGGAAAAAAGCTGCAGCCATGTTGAAGAAACCGCAGGAGAGTAGAAGATTTACGCCAAGCGTTCACCCACACAAAACACCCCAAGAAAATAACCCATATATGCATAGCTGTATGCAGCATGGAAATGGAAAAAGGAGTCGTTCGGGAAAAAAAGAAAGATACATCTTAGAAACAACTCAAATCTAATTTCGAACATTGTACGTTTAAATTTGCATTGCAAAAACTAAACTCAACTAAAAATACAGGCAACACAAATATACCTTTATGAATAAACTAAAAATCTAAAAGAAGAAGTCATTATTGAGCATTAGACAAAGCAAAAGCGAGAGTATGAAAAAAGTTTGTTTTTGGCCTTTTAACAAATTACTTGTAGTGTTAAAGAATTTAATACAATTAAATAATAAACACAGATGCATTAAAAACAGGGCGCAGAAAAGGGCATCTTCAAATCCAAAAATCCAACATCTAAGCGAAAGAGACAGGGAGCAGGGACAGAAAGAGAGGGAGGGAGAGAGAGCAAAGCAAAGATTACTTCAAGTGAAACAAAAACTAAGTATAAATTAACAAAAATATTAATTCAATTTAAAATAAACAAGAAAAATCTAAAATCCCAACAAACTGTTGTGCATTTTTTTTCCGTACAGCCATTTTTACGCCCTACTTTCTTAGCAGAACCTTCACATTTCCCCACTTTTCTTTCTAAAGTGATCATAAATATTGCATTCAGTGTGTCAAATAGACGTCCCTGTCCCCAAGTTTTCTTGGGGATTGACTCAAGCATTTGGCTGCGAAAAGAAAATCTGGAGATCCGGAATCTTGCTTTGTTTCTTTGGAACAGCTTTTCCATCGCATGTGATAACCCAGCACACCAAACCCAAAATGTTTCAGTCTAGGATCCTTGCACATAAGTATTAGGACTGAAGATTGGTTAGCGCTAATCAGTTAGGAGCTCTTAAATTGTAAAATGTTTACAGATTATTCCATGATGCCTGAGTTGCTTATTACGAATAACCTAACATACACGATAGCCATTCTGAATGTAATTACTGAAGTAACATATAATTTAACATTATTTTCGGCACTAGGTTTCTTATAAAACTGTTCCAACGACGATATAATAAATCTACTATTGAAAATAACAAAAGTTTACCATCCTTTCTTTGCTGCCACAAGCATCACATCCTTTTCAGAACTTCTACAATGCATTGAGATTAAGAGCGATATGAAAATACACTCTGTTTATAGGACGACACTTTTTATTGGAACATGTATTAATGCAGTTGATATTCACAATTTTGTATAATTCATTGTCAATTCACAATTCTCTTAATCCACTTCATAGTCCACAAATAATTCACAATTTCCACAATTCAATTAATAATCCACGCATCAAGTTATATCTTACAAATTTAGCTTACTCCTGAAATCCATCTAGTAGTGCTTCCGTTTAGGCTCCTTGCCCTCCTGCCCGCCCATAAAGATCTGTATATCCAGTCGATAGTGACGTGGCCGCTCGCCGGGCATCGGATCTCATTTGACATCTAATAGCTTGCGCTGGAACATTTGCATGGCCAGGTTGCGCAGTCCCTCGCCCACGATGGGAACACTTCGGGGGAACTCACATTCCCTGGCCGGCAGACCGCACAGCTGGCGGCGCAAGCGCAAATCCTGGCGAGCACTGAGGGCTCGGCTGCCCGGACCGCAGACATTGCCCACCAATCGCTGGCGCTCGACGGCGGCGCTGCGCAGACCCATCTGCACGCAGGCCAGTGGCTCCAGTTGCTGCTGGCTGGCCAGGAATTCGCGGTAGTCAAGCAGTGGCGAGGCCATCTTAGCCGGCGTCTCCTGGTCTCCATCCAGCTCGCGCTCCCTTTCGCGCTTCTGGCACTGCTCCTTCTCCTGGATCAACTGCTGGCGCGCCTCCTCCATGACGCGACGGGCATAGCTCTCGCCCGCCATTCCAAACGATATGCCCATGTCGAGGAGCACACGATGTGGCTGCCATCTCTGCTTGGCGGAGGTACCGCGGTCCACGCCCTGTTGCGCAGCCTGTGCTTCGGTGGCCTGCTGACGGGTCTCCGCTATCAATCCCTGCCAGTCCACGCCCAAAGCATCACCAATGCCTGTGAAATGTGATGGGAAATTACATTTTAGTATCGGCTTTAAATCAAATCTTGCAACCTCTTCCCCTAACATTGTAACATCAAACTAAGTGTACAGGATGGACAGGCATTGTTGCCACCATGCTGTCATCGGGTAGGAAAAGTATTTACACACATATGTAATGTTTATAGATGGCTCACGTTCGTGGCGCGCATTTTCTCACCTTTGTGCCGTGCATCCTCCTCCAGCTCGCCATCGGATATTTCCTCAAAGTCCAGCACCTCGTCCACCTCCTCGCCCTTGATCGGATGCCCTGCCACACTGTGGAGTCCCTCGTTTTTCACCTCCTCTGCATTGGTGTCCGTTTCCTGCTCCGTCTCCGTTGGCAGTTCGCTCTTGGGCCGCACCTTGTCCGTTTTATTGAGGATATCGTCGTCGCTGTCGCTAATCTCGCTCAGCTCACCCTCGGCGGCGCTGGCGAGGATCGGCTCCTGCTTAACTGGATTGCCCTCGGTAGTCAGCGACTGGTTCAGGCTCGCATTCTGGGTCGGCGAGTCCTGGGCGCCCAATTCGGGTGTACCTGCTGAGTCCTCAGACGCATCTTCCTGCTTGATGCACACGGTGTTCAGTTTGCTCACCTTAAACAACGATTGAGGGAAACAACGATAAAAGAAATTTATTACTAATTGAGTATGATGGTTTTACCATTTCCGCTGAAGAAAATGACTACGTTATTGCACAGTGGTTAGCAAATAATCAGTTTCAAATGGATGAACGTTGCACTCAGTTAACAGAAACGCATGCTTAAACTTATAAACAAAGACGAAACCATAGCCCATAGATATGATGTGCTGCATCCGGTGACACTGCAGCGAAGTTAACGAAAATCAATCGCACCTGAGCCAGTATTCCGGGATTAGTGGTGGCATTGGCAGCGCTTTGGGCCGCCGCCTTTGCCGCTGCCACTGCTGTGGTGGCCGCCGCCACAGCACTCGCCTGTGCGGCTGCATTCGGTTTGGCCGGATTGAGGAGTGGATTCAGGAGCGGGGTCTGCGTCGGCGAGACCAGCGGTGCGTGCGTGTGCTTCTTGAGGAAAGTGGAGGATCCGGGCGGACCGCCGTCCCGGGCTCCCAGTGCGCCGCCATCTCGGGCAGCTCCATAGGGTAGTCTTTTATGGGGAAATCCGCGGGAATAGCCGCCTGGTGGTTGCACCGGCAACGTCATCAACGGTGGCGGATGGGATCGGTAGCCGGACCGCTCGCCGTGATCGCCATGACCGTGTCCACCTCGCCGGAATCCTCTGCCAGATCCTCGTTCGCCCCTCGGATGCACATGGTGGTGCGGGGAAGCTGGATGTGCATGGGATGGTGTTGGCGGGGCATCATCGTTATCCCGCCAATCACCTCCAGAATTGGACGACTGCTGCTGCCAGGTGCGTGGTTTTTCCCGCTGATCGTGCTCCAACCAAGCGGGCTCATTTTTTATAGACGGCCGGTCGCCGCCAGCGCCTCCGCTTCCTGTGTCCGGCCGATCTTCGCGATCTCGTTCACGTTCCCGATCGCGCTCACGTTCTCGTTCCCGCTCTCGCTCCCGCTCGTCCGCATCCCAGTCGGGCTCCGAAGCAGAATGGTGCTGCTGCTGTGGTGGAGGTCCTCCGCCCGTATGAGCTGGAGGTTTGCCCCGCTTGGGACAGCCCACAAAGCCACCCGGTCGACCAGGCGTTCCGCTCGGCCCACCTGGGCCGCCACCGGCGCCCTGCTCCTCCCACTCGCGCTCCCACTCCGGTCGGAAGTCGCCACGGGGTCCAATATTGCGCTCCCTTTCGCGGTCACGTTCTCGCTCCCGATCCCGCTCCCTGTCCCGGATAAGACGTTCCCGCTCGTCTGGATAGAGGGTGTCTTCCGTTTCGAGGTCGCGGTATTCGCGCCCTTGCAGCTCCCGTTCCCGCAACTCGCGTGCCTCCAGCCAGGCTTCACGTTCCCGTGAGGAGTAGCGGGCATCCAGATAGGCGCGTTTGTAGGCCCTAAAATAAGGAATTCCCAAAATGATGGATTAGGTTATGCAGATTTCAGGGCTATAAACATAAAGGAGAACGGTTTACTTTCTGCTACCTAGTCATCCAAGTTCAGGTAAGAGAAAAAAGTTAAGAAAATGGTACAGTTTCTGAAATTGAGTTGCCGCGGAATAGTGAAGGGCAGACTCTGTATTTACCTCTCCCGCTCCTCCTCGGAGAACAGTTCCCGCGGATCACGCATCCTGGGTGCATAGTGCTCGGGCAGGGGACTGAGGTCTCTGCGCCGATACCTTCGCATCTCGTCGATCAGGCCGTGGCCATGTCGTTCCTCTAGATACTCTTGCTCGCGCTCGTAGGGATCCAACTCCCGCTTATCACGCACATGACGACCGCCCCTTTCACGCTCTCGTTCCCTTTCGACGGTATCCAGAGATCGCTCCCGGCTGCCGTACGGCGGAAGATCCAAGTCTCGATTGGGACCACTGCGCTTGCCGCCCTCCTGTTCCTCCTGGCGTCGCAACTTCTCGCGAGCCAAGCGTTCCCGCTCCCGTTGACGTTCTTGGCAGCGAGCCAAGGCCTCAGCGCGCTCCTTGTCCCTGGCTGCCTCCCGTTCCGCACGCTCGCGCTCCCGATCCCGACGATCTCGTTCCCGCAAGGAGAGATCGTGCCGTTCCCGTTCCCTTTCTCGTTCTCGCTCACGCTCCCTTTCCCGCTCCCGTTCCAGGGACGGAGTACGTCCACGTGCGCGTGTCTGGATGATGATCTTCTCCCGCGACATCAACTGGTGATGCATTCGCGAGGACGAGCTGCTACTGCCGCCTCCAAGGCCAGAACCTAAGCCTGAAAGCAAAGCAACAGTGGGTTCAGTCTAGACATAACTAAAGTATCATACTTAGTATGAAATTAGGTGTACATAAAAATGTGTATATTGTATGTCATGATGATGGTTACCTGGACTCTTTTGCCGCTTACCCACGATGTCCTGGTGGATGCGAATCTTGGTGGTGGTGGTGGTGCTGCTGCTCGGCGGACTCCTGCTGCTGCCCAATCGATGATGGTCTCGCTCCCTGTCCCGTTGGACGACGCGCAGCTTGTCCCGCTCCCGTTGCTCCTTGCTGGCGGCCCGTAGCCGTTTCCGCTCAGCCAGCCGCTTCAGCTTGGCCCGCGTGGTCGGCGACAGGGAACGATGGACGTGACCACTGAGGGCGGCGGCAGCTCGTTTCTTTAGGCGCGCCTCCTTCAGCTTCCGTTTGATGTGATTCCGCTTGGCCACCAGCTTCTTTTGCACATGATCCCGTTTGTCTCGCTTGCGACGCGACGACGATTGTTCATCTCCGGACGAGCTGCCGCCACGCCGTGAGCTCTTCTTTTTGCGATGATGACGCTCCGCGGAGCGCGGATGATGGCCATGGCCGTGGGGATGTGAATGCCCGTGGACGCTGCCACTGCCGCCGGCACCACCGGCACCACCAGGTCCGCCGACTCCCCCGCCGCCGCCGCCACCACCTCCGCCCACGCCCTGTTCGCTGTCCGTGCTGCTGTACGAGCTGCTACCGCTGTCCGAGTCCGAGGTGGAGTCCGAGCTGCTCGAGTGCGTCGCACTGTGGCGGGCGGCCTTCTTGTAGCGGCGCAGCGACTCCTTGGCCTTCTTCTCCATCGCCGCGATCTCCGCTAGCCTGCGCGCCTCCGTTTTGTCTGCTTTCTCTTCGTGCCTTGGGGAAAATTCGACTCGACTGTGCGGCTTATGACTAGTTGCGGGAACTAACTGATGATGTCCTTGCTGGGAGGCGAAGGCTTGCTTTGTTTTCAGTTTGTTGGCGTTTTCCTTACTTCTTCTTCTTTATTTTCATCTACTTGTTAGTGTTGCCGATAGTTGATCCACACGAGCACGCGCGCTTCGATAACAGTGTTGGTCAGCACGGCGATACATATCGGTTGACAATCGAAATGAAACATCATTTGTTTATAATTTGTTTAAAATTTGTTTTGGGAGCAACCAAATTCAAATATATAATTATAATTATCAATATAAATACAAATTTTTGGCAAGTATAAGAAATATTTTGGATATTTCTATTTCTTTGTTTTTGTAACAGTTTCTGGGTAAAATGAAACCGGTCTGGATTGAATTACGGTTTCGATTTCGATATACCGGTTCAGCGTATCTACCCGGTTTTGCAACTGTTTGGCTAACCGGGCAGATTTCCGATCCCTATTTGAGCATTATGAATTCGTTTTCTTTCATACTTTCGACAGCTTAAGTTTTAAAAGAACTTTTAAGCCCATTAAATTCAAATTCCACGCCTCCAAAACATTGTATGAAGCAGTCTGATCTACCACTTGGTTAAACTGAAGTTTTTATTGCCAAAAGGTTTTTCAATCCAGCTGGCTGTGATTCTAGCGTCGAGTCGTATTACTGGCATTTTTCCGGCTTTTCCTCAGTTTTGGTACATGGGTCGACACCTCAACACATCACTTCACATTCTCTCCCAACTTATAGAGTAAAACTACATTCTTTAAAAGTACAATTTTCAACCTCTTGTGAAACCCTAACTTACCAGTCTCATTCGGGGGAAAACCGATGAATTTGCTGCGCCGGCAGCCTCGGCTGCTAAGTAAGCGGGGCACGTGGCTCCTGAGGGATTACGTGGTGGCCAGCGGGGATGTGTCCAAATCCGTTTCCCGTCCTGCGGCGCCTATGTCCACCCTATCGATATCCGGACCAGCGCTGGCTGCCGCCGCCTCAGTATCCGCAGTATCCGCCGTATCCCTGGTATCCCAGTGCACCCACTCCCGTTTCCAAGGAGCAGGACAAGGAGCAGGTGTGTTCGAAGCGAAGAGTCACTCACACTCGTCTTTTTTGGCTGTTTAAAAGACAGCATTTCACACACTTGGCTTCACGTAATTCATATGAGTACATTTCTATATTCATGTAAGGAGGAAGAGCCCAAGGAGGATCAGCCGCCAGAGGATCAGCCGCCGGAGGATCAGCCGCCGGAGGATCAGCCGCCGGAGGAACCGCCGCAAGAAGACAGTACTCCGGATCCGCCAAGCCCGGAGGAGCGTCCACCGGAAAGCCATCTTCGGGCAAAGCCCCACCAGCTCCCCCAGCTCCTCCACCACCTCCCCCACCTGCAGCAAGCAAATCTGCACCCCCCGTGAAAGCCAAGAAGCCGCGAATGAAGAGCTTCGAGATCTACCGCTGGAAGCCCGGGGATCAGCCGCAGACGCAAACCTACTTGGTGGACCTGGAGCAGTGCGGCGCCATGGTGCTGGACGCCCTGATCAAGATCAAGAACGAGATGGATCCCACGCTGACCTTCAGGCGCTCCTGTCGCGAGGGCATCTGCGGCTCCTGTGCGATGAACATCAATGGAACGAACACCTTGGCATGCGTGTCGTCCATCGACCAGAATGAGAGCAAGTGCTGCCGCATCTATCCACTGCCGCACTTGTATGTGGTGCGGGATCTGGTGCCGGACATGAGCCAGTTCTACGAGCAGTACCGCTCCATCCAGCCGTGGCTGCAGCGCAAGGACCTCAAGCGGGAAGCTGGAACGGCACAGTATCTGCAGTCGGTGGATGATCGTCTGGTGCTGGACGGGCTGTACGAGTGCATCCTGTGCGCCTGCTGCCAGACCTCCTGTCCATCCTACTGGTGGAACAGCAACAAGTACCTGGGCCCCGCCGTCCTCATGCAGGCCTACCGCTGGGTCATTGATTCCAGGTGAGTTGGCCATGGTGCTGCCAGTTTCCCCACGTGCTTAAGCTCCGCCTTTAGGGACGAGGCCACCGAGCAGCGACTGGACTTCCTCAAGGATCCCTGGAAGCTCTACCGCTGCCACTCCATCATGAACTGCACCAACACGTGTCCCAAGCACCTCAATCCGGCTCGGGCCATCATCCAGCTGAAGCAGCTGCTCGTGGGTCTGAAGAAGAAGGGGAAGCCCCAACTAAAGACCGACGCCCTCTTCGCGGGAAAGGCATAGGGAACGGCACACTGAGATGTCGACATAACGTTAATGGGATTTGTGTAGGAATGCTACACCAATCTGTACACAGCGGGCAATATACCAACGACACATCCCATCACACTATATTTTAACACAGGACTTTATGGACTTTACGATAGTTAGGTCGGAAACAATAAATGCGGAACTGAAACTATTTGCTTAAAAGTGGATGTCGAACTTCTTCTCCTCCTGCAGAGAATGCTGGGGAAAATCAAGTCGTCTATTAATTGATCAATTGGAAAACAATCTTACGAATGTCAGCATGGGTACAAATAAAACAAGATCGTCGGGCAGATGGATTGCAGTTGGACAGATGAAGCCAACTGATACCAAGTACGCCCAACACTCCAATGAATCTCCAGCATATCCATGCCCCTCGTCATCGCCACATAGATCCCGATTCCGATCCCGATCCCGTTCCCGTTTCCAATCCGCATCTTCCAATTCCGTGCTATTTCTGCCGCTCGTTGCAATTAAGTGGGAAAATGCTGTAGCAATGTGGATGTTAATGTTCGTGTCTGCACCAGACCCATCCAAACAAATCACATAAAGAATGGAATCGGATGAAATGAGCCACTTCCTACACTTCAAAAAATGACGCGGTCTTTTTGGTACACATTCGAAAAGCAAACTTCCTTGATTGAATAATCCTTATAGATCTGTAGATCTATATAGATCTATAGATCTTATTGAAGCACTCAAATTTCTTGCCGTGCAGGCAAGGGGATTTGTTTTCCAATTGGCCTGGAGAAGGAGCATTGGAGGGCAGTGAATGAAGCCAACTGTGAAAACGGTCCAAACGATCTCGATGGGCATCTATAAATAAGCCACCGCAAATCTTCCGCCGGGCAGAAGAATCGGAGAGGGAGTAACTCGAGTTCGGGATGGAATACTTCGATGTTGTTTTCTTTAAAAATAACAAGGCCCTCCGAACTTGTCAGCAGCCGTCGCGAAAACGGGGAAATGAAAGCAAGAAAAGCGGGAAATCTTGTCACGCTCTCGTTTACACAACTTGCACTTTTCATCTTGTTTCAGTTGGTTTTCTAAAATACCCTTCCAACGAGTACTTCGCTTGGAGCATTTCGGGGAGCACGGAAATGTCAATACACCTTTAATTTCAGAGTTTACAGAGTTCTGAAGTTCCGAAAAACTCCAATTAGTGGTTCCTCTTTTTTGGACGTCGCAGGACTTTTGACCCTAGAAATACTAGAGCCTACTTTTTACGCCTTTTTACGAGCTTTGAGGCCTGTACAGGTTTATTTATATTTTTAATGAAGTAGAGTATCGAAATCCTCGCCCATAGCATTCGTCACATAGCCGGGTATTTATTTCTTGGAGTGCGACAACACTCAATCGCCTTGACACAAGCTGACAGGCACAAATCAGATGAAAAGCCTTCGGCAAGGGCTCTTCAAGATTAACCAAAGCCAGTTGATCCGCAGCATCCCATTCTGTGCCGCTGGAGAATCATCCCGGCCGATTCTCCAGAGGCTTAGGCCATCAGGAACCGCGTGCCGAGGCGGGGAGACAATTAAAAGGCGATTCCAGCAATGCGCCTGTTTGCACCTGCCGTCCAGATATCAGCGACAAACGACATTGTCAACAGTGAGCCAGTCGAGCACGATGATTACACTAGTCAGCAAATAACAAGTTTAATATATATTGTCACAAGTAGATCTACACTTGATACACTGCTCTTTGAACACTGCAATCGGTTATGGCTGCGAGTCCCTAAAAATATGTTTTAATGTGTGATATCCCTTAGGTCTTCTGACTTATAAATACATAATTAGTGCTTTATTTAAATTAAGTTGTTAATGCAACTTTATTATTTTTTATCATTTAGTTACTTTATATTAATATTTAAAAAAAAAGTAAGTACATTGTGTTTGTTAAATTGGTGACAACCTTATGACAAAGTCCAAAAATTTGATTGTGCAGTGCCCTTAAAAAATAAACACATCTCACACATGCAGCCTCCGAAATACTTGGAGCAAATGATGTTGGACTAAGGTCCCCGGCTGCTCCTTTGTCGCATTTCCAAGGTGTTGGGCCGGTGGCAATGTGGAGCAATGTGCCCCACCAACTCGTGCAACTCACAATTTAAGCTGTTAAGCCGCCGCTGACGGCTGACAGGTGGCAAGGGGAATAGGAATCGAAGCATCCGAGTGCCGAGAAACAGGCATTTTCCAGGCACATTTCATCATAGACGCGTGCTGGAATTAGCCGCGTGCGAAAGAGAGGGGGAGTCGGGCAGCGAAAGAGAGGGGAGTAGAGCCTGAACAAAACGCCTAACTAGAGGCTAACTATCCCTAGCAAAAAAACTGTCAGTTTAATTAATTTTCCTTAATATTATGTGGATTATTTATTAGATTGGTGACCCGGATCCTGCATTTTCAGTATATCGGTGACCCCGATCCTGCATTTCTAGCTTTTTAAAGGTGACTAGAGTGGCCTAACTTTCTCTCTTGAAACTATTACTTAATATTATGCTCACTATTATTGTTGCATTTTTAAGCATCTGTAGATTCGCAATTAAATTTATCAAATCCGTTGCCTTAGGTCGAAGTTCTACTTAAATTCTTCTCCACATTAGCAGCAGAGCAGCATGGGTACAGTTTCCTGCTTCTTGATGGTTAATTTGATTGGGCCGCTGTTGTTGCCATAGTTACAGTTGATATAAAATCCCCAAGATTTATGGCTTTTAAATTTGCATTCATGCTGGGATCTGCCAGATTACTGGCATGAAGAGACAAAAGCGGATACACAAATCAATTGTCATTTGGCATGGAATGTTGTCGAGGAGAGTCACTTGTAAAATGAAGTTTTCAATAAAAAATGTCCACCACTGATTGTATACTTTATGTCTTGATGGCCTTCCAAGTGCCTTTTCTCCTTTTATCGCTGACAGTCACTTTTCTTTAACTCTCCTTTCGATTGCATTGATTTGGATAACTGAGTTGCCAGTACCTTCAAGTCGGCTTAATTACTTGACTTTAGTTGAGATCGATGAAAAGCAGTGTCCATTAATATATTCCCCAAGCTGCTTAATCTCTCAACTCTAAAATTTGTTCCATTCTATTTTCGAATCTCGCAGTCATTTTGCTCAAAGGGTGAGAGCATCGGCCGAATAATATTGAAAAAGCTTTTCACTCATTTTGCTCAGAGTATATTGCTTCAACCTAATAACATATGATTGATGCTGCGATGATTAATTAGGAATGCATCTCATCGCTTCAATAATTGGCAATAATAAAACTGCGTTTAATTAAGTCCCAAATGATTGATGAGTTAAGAGTACAGAGTTAAAAATTGGCATATAAACAGCGTACATAGCCCATAATTAATGATATTGATCAAACAGGCATGCATTTAAACGAGATCGATAAATGTTGATACATTGTTGCTGAGTGGCAATAACTTATCGATACGCCGGCCCGTTAAATTCGAGCCTCAGTATCTGAACTTGGCCGATAACTTTTTGCCACAAAGCTTTGGCCCCCGCGAGGGCTGTTTCTCTGCCCCTTTCTCTTGCCAAATCTCTCCGGCTGAATCGCTTGGATATGTAAATGAATTACTCGTAAATAGCTAATGTAACTACGAAAATATTTACATATGCGTAAGTGGGTGTCGGCAACCCACACACGAATTACACTTGCAGAAAAACATAATCACTGGGGTAAGCCATCAAAGAAACGGGAAATTCTACGGATACCATAGGTGTCACAAAATGATATATTGCTTAGAATCTTTACCAATTTGGCAGGCAAGAAATAGATTATATAGATATAGATTATAGATTATAGATTATGCATAGATTAAATGTGCTAAAATATATCTTCGGCTGTTATTTAATGAGCTGATTTGTTTTGATGCACATCTTTAGCATGATACACTTACTTAATATGGCGACCATTTTAGCGAACGTGTGAATTGCATTTCTCTTGCTCCGCTACTCTGCAGTGTTTTCTGCGAGTGTAGTGAGCGCATTGCCACGTGCGAGCGCCGCAAAGCTTCAGCTCCAAAGAGAGCCGAGCGGCGAGCTTTGGGGCAGTGCCTACGTCACAGGGCCGCTTTTAGGGGGCGGGCGAGCTTTCGGCGCCTAGAAAACAACCCCAAAGCGGCACCGCGAATCAGTCGCAAAAAAGTGCCCGTCGCCAGAACGCTGAAAAAACAGCAAACAATTGAGATAAATAAATAGACTCGAGGTAGAAATAGTGTCAGAGTGACAAGAAGCAGCCAAAAGCGAGAGCTGCCACAAAAATCGAATTGGTTAAGGAAACAATATCAAGGTAGTTAAGAATTGCATTTTTTTTTAGTGAGAGAGTGTTTTGTGTGTGCCCGTGTGCCCGTGTGTGTGTGCGTGTGCGTGTGGCTGGCAGAATCTTCTTGCTCTTATTTGTTGTTTGCACTTTGATCCTAATACTTATCACTATTTACCCGAATCAATCAAGGAAATCGCCGAGAGGATAACGAAAGCGCTGCCCGCAAACGTGCGACCCCCTCCATCAGTCCATCGGTCCATCAATCCATCAGTCCATCAGTCCATCCAGCCAACTATCCCCATCCAGTCAATCCAGATATCCGCGAATCCAGGAGCGAGCGGTGACGAAAGCAGCAAACAACACAACAAACCCAAAGCACACACTCCACAAAGATGTCATGGAGATATGCGGTAAGCAAAAGGAAAATGGGGAAAGCGGGAAAGGTGGGAATTAGGGTTAAAGAAAATACAGGAAGAGTGGGCGGATAAGGGTAGTAATAAAGTACAGAACACTCAGCGAAAATGCAGACATAGTACAAGAAATTACTGTATTGGTATAGTATTGGAATATATGAGTAACATACACGTAATAGTAGTAGCTCCTTCGTCACTACGTGGACTGCCTTTTAACTAACTTTTAATTTTGAATTCCTACAAACAACATAGATATTAAAATTCAATACATTTTTATCTACTTTGTTGATATATTTACATTGCTGCAGTAATTATGTTCAAATAGCCATTTAAAGTCCAGTCATTAGATACATATGTATTTGGTGAAACAAAGAGTTTTATTTGAAGTGTTTTTGCTCAGTGTAGTGAGTGGATGGGGGCGTGGCACGTGCTGCTTTGTCAAGTGCCGCGTGGCAGACTTTTCGACGCTGACTTCGGACATCTGTCAAAAACAGCTGACGACGATGGCGTTGGCGAGCGATGATGATGACCTTGACTTGCCTCAATCTTTGGCCATGTCGTTCCGCCGCTCCGCTGACCTAATTTGCCCATCCCATGCAACCCACCAACCGCCCAACCGCCCACCACTTCACCTATAACACACAAAGAACAACGACACAAAAAATCAGTGTAAGGAAAATAGAATTTGTTCTATTTTCTGTGGGACAGAGGCCTTGGCACATGTGCACCCCACCCACCACCCACCGCCCATTTGAAGGCCTCCAAATGCAAATGCAAAGTTCAAGTGCCTTTCCAAGGCGTGGCAGCGCACCACACAACCACTTAACCACCCAACCACCCGAAAATCCCACCAAACTATACCCAACATGTGGGTCGTTAAATAACCATCTTTGTCTATGGCCTTTATGAGGCGATTATCCTGGCATTAACTCGCTTTTGGCGCCTACTTTTTGGGTCACCACAGCACGCTGCGCTGGGTCACCATGTCCTTGGGTCCCACAACATAGGCAGCCCGTTTACATATGCCTAAAATAATACACATTCACTAGAAATAGTTGGTTTGATTTACGTGCCACCAGTTCAAGATCGATCTTCAAGTGTTTAGTGTTCAGTGTTCAGTTCCATGGAACTGTCGCAAAAAAGGCCCATGAAATGGAGACCCCTTGCTCTAACTGAAGAACTCCAGCCAAGAGCTTAACCACTGGGCATTAGCATTAGACTAACCGAATTAGTGACGCTGCGCTGGATTTGATTGACCCAAAAGGCGCGGATCGTTGGTAGTAGGCTTTCGGCGTTTGTGGGCGGGCTAAAGAAGATTACACATACGCCGCGTGGAGCAATTAGGTTGATTATAAAATGGAAAGTAAAGTGGGCCAAAGAGCAGGAACAGCAGAAGCTTGAGGCCTCCAAATCGAATGCGAAAACCTAATGAATTCAAAGGCAGTAAAGCGCATTAAGCTCCTGCCAGCACTTCCTCCATTACAAATAAACGGTGACTCGAAATTAATTGCCCGGCTTCCGTGTAATGGGCATTCCATTGTGAAGAGCTGTAAAGTCTATGTAGACATGGGTGTAAAGTATATATGGATGCGAGTATATAGACACATACCAGCTTAGCTTAGCTAAAATGCCAATGTCATCGCCGCTTTTCGCTTTTTTCAGTGTCAAGCCCATCGAGAGCGCTAATTGAACAATCGATAGAGCATTGTTTGGGCCCACATATTGTGTGTATTGTTGGTAAATACTATATATAGCCGCTTTGTGCCGTTTGTGGGCGTGTCGCATCGCAGCTGTTGCGCCTGGTTGAGCAGAAAGCGAAAGGCAAGCGCTTGGAGCTGCACTGAGAATAATCCGGGAGCAGATCGAGCTGCGAACTCTTCGGGGATATTATCACTTTAATTTCTATGCCATCTTTTGTCGAACATCTCATCGAGCTGGGAGCGCATTATTGTTATATATTTACATTTATAAACCGATCTTTAAAATATTTACGCAATATTCAATGTAATTCTGCAGCTATCATAGAGCCGATTTTCGCACATTTCTATCGATTCGTGCCCAGTTTTTCTCTCTCTGTGCCAGCTGCGCCAGAAGCTGAAGTCAATGGCGGCGACTTGAAAGCGTTTTCCCATTTGGAGCGAGCTAGAAACCCACCCAAAACGGGGGAATGCGGTTTTCCCAAGCTCAAGGTCGATCGACGATCTGTTGTCGGCCTTCGGAAATGGAAGAGTATTGGGGAAATTTCCCTATTACAAATTCTATGGTATTTTAATGCGCATAATCATTAGCACCCCATATTTGCATTGCAGTGTATACAACTTTGGAAAATAATATATATATAGGTTATACACCCTTGTATAATATTTTAATAAGAGCAGCTTGGAAATTTAGCTAGAATATTGAACACTGAAGAGCACAAAATGCAACACAATGCCCGTTTCGACAACATTGTAGATACTTGATACCCTATGATTGTATGGATAAATCGGTTAATGGCGATCCTTAACCCACTCAAGCCCATCTCATTTGCATGGCAGATGCATACATTTGCTGATCGCCTTTTTTTTATTTTTGATGAGATACTCGCGGAATGTGTAGATACATATATCATTCGCAAGCCATAAACGTGCTCGCCTTAAAAGGCAAATTAAGCACCGAATGAATTGCGCATTTAATTGAAATTTAGTTTTGCAATGTGGTAAATGGTAAATGGCTGCCAAAGTTTTTTGCCTTCAATGTTGGGAAATTGAGTGAGGAATGTCTCTTTCAGTTTTTCTCATAATTATCTGGGGAATTTTGTTTACATTTTCCCATTTGGGGGCACTGGTTCGTTGACTGTTTAATCAATAACAAAAAGTTACTGCAGGATACTGGCTTGCATGTCAATGCGATTTGCATTTGTCGAGTGCCCCAAAACCATGCAGATTATGCAGATACAAATATGTATATAGATGAATGCCCAGACAGATAGCTAGCTATATGCATATGTGTCATATCTACATATATGTACGGATTTATCAATGCCATTGGCCAGACGAAAAAAGCAATGTAAATTGCTCGTTTCTTCTTTTTGGTCGAAAATTAATTGTTGCTCTTGATTTTGGTTTGCTTTAATTTCCAACATTTGCTGCCGAGCATTTTCACACTTGAGAAATGAATTTGGGAAAATTGTTGTTTGTGTTCTATTTCTGGGCATCTCTGTGCTCAAGGCCGAGCAAGTAAATCGCGAATAAATTACAAAAATATATTTATTTTCATAAACATATGGATGGAAAACATCCGCAGATGCGCATGAGATTAATTTGCATTTGGGTGAACTATTAATTGAATAGTAAAAGTTAATGCAAAAATGCCTAATATTGCTTATATATTTCGATTTAGAAACGAATATTAAATCTTAAACTTTTTTTTGAGACAGTTGATGGTTATTGTACTGAATCCTCAGAAGTAGCAATGAAACCTGAGGCAAGCCTTTCAAAAAAAAGTAAGTGGCACGTACTTCCTTAGTTAGTTAAGTTTATTTAGCTGATTGCATTGTCTAGCCGCCATCCATCCTTCGTGCCCCACTTTGCTGCACAGTGGCATTGTTTTTCCATTTTCCATTTTCCACATAGCTGGCTGCACTTCCTGCGGTCGGAGAAGACAATCGGATCCAAAGCAGAGAACTGTGTCAGGCCCAGAGGTCAAGCAGTTGCCCAACTGTTGCCACCTGCAAGCCGCAACATGTGGTGCGGATGTGGGTCAATCCTTGACTGGTTGACTTGACCCACCCAGCGGCGCCAAGGGACATCAATTCCAATCCCAATCGCAATCGCAACGAGATTATGACATCATTAAGTGGCTGCAGTGTGGAAAGCCCCCATTGAGAACTAGTTCATAAACAGATTGTATTTCGATATTTTGCTGCAGTGCCCAGGAGAATTGATGAAGGAAAGTGTCTTCTACTGAATGGTGGTCCCTTTTAAGTTCGATTCTGATCCGCTGGCATGTGAAACAGCAAACGGAAAATTGGCGGAAAAGTTACAAGTGGCAGTTTCCTCGCAGTTTCCACCCTCGAAAACTAGAAAATACACCTCTCAGGTGTTTTGTCGACTGTTTTGAAAGCGGCTATAATAAGATACGAACGCTTTCAGTTGCCAATAGATTTCAGATGCACTCGCACGAATCGCTCAGCGGCATGGGGGCGAGGAGGGGGAGTATCGGAGCGGGCATGGAAGTGCTATATATCGGGCTATATCCGTGCATGTATGCTGGCGATTAGTTGGGGCACCGCTCCGACATTCAATCATGCCAGTGTTTTTCACTCGCTTTTCGATTTTGTTGCGCCTTCGTATCTGGCATTTCGTTTTCCCCCTTTTTGGATTTGTCGTGTCCAGCTAATTGTCTTGTCATGCGGGCCTCACAAACGTATATACATATATATATATATATAAATATAGTATATGTAGTACGGGGATACTTGGCGGGGGCGTGGGATGAGTCACAGACAACAAATTCGTTGCTGGGTTCCACTTGCTCCAATACACATTTTCTCTGTGCCTCTGCCGTTGGCTTTTTCATCGTACTATACATCGGTGAGTAATTTTGTTTCTATCAACTATTTTTAGATGCAAATCGGTGGGCGAACGCGTGGGTGGGAGCGCAATTTTCTTGGCAAGGGGCACAAGGTCAAGGCGCAGCTTCACACTCACCTGAGGAAAGCTCTGCCTCTATTTCCGTTTTCACCTGATGCTCAGAATGGCTGGGATACACTTGTATTTGGTTTATTTTGCAGATACATTCCGTATTGTGTTACCATACTTCACGGGGAAATAGGGTGCAATCATTGTATCTTATATCTCATAGTAAGAAATCTCTTTATTTTTAGCTATTTCTAGACATGCCACATCTACTTATTTACCATTTTTTTGCATTATTTTATTATCCCTATGGTTTCTTTCAAATACCTTTCAGCTTCTCACAGACAGATACAGCAGCAGTATCGGCGATAGATATAGTCCCCACTATTATCAGGTTTGTCCAGACCCGGAAATGTATCTTTGCATGAGTTTTTTGAATGTGCAAATTGTGCTGTCTAAAGTGTATAATTTTGCAGAGTAATTGTAACTGTGCGTTCCTAATCTCCGCTGTTTTGTGACATTGATACTCGAAACCTATTCGAATTTCGAAACTAACCAAAGCTGAAGACTCATTTTCGCTTACTTCTAGTGCCCCAGCACATAACACTCGTATCTGGCAGATAAATGGGCCACGGCGAGAATAATGCTATAAATAATGTCCGCATTTTGTGCGCTCTTCATCAACGGATTTAGAACAATTAACCCACACACACCTTGCGCATACATATATACTATATAGGCATAAATATAAAGATGTGCACGTCGAGCGCTATGTGCCATAGATCAGTCACAATAGATCAGTGGCAAAATGTTAAAGAACTCTGGCGACAGATGCCTTAAATTTATATAAATGATTTTCCTTCTCGATCCCGCCAGCGTTTTTCGCTTATTTTCGCTTTTTCAGGGTCGCATGCCGCGACAAAAAGCAAAAGTTTCCGAAACGTGAACACCAATGCCACCAATGCCCCCAGTGCCCCTTAAGGCAGCCGATTCCCAGATGATGGTATTATGACAAGTCAGACAGCCGATAGCCAACAAAATGGTCTCGAATAGGGAAAAACAGAGTATAAAACATCGCAAAAGGCAAGACAAAGTTTTCACTTTCTGTCCCTGAAATTGGCAGACAACAAACGGCATATAAATGGGTATATATGTATATATATAAGAAAACCTCCGATCCCACCTCCCCCAATCCGTCTGATTTGTCATCTTTTGTAAGCAAATTGCGACCTTCGCCTTTGCCATAAATCTGCAAGGCAAGGCATTTTATTTCCCGGTTTTTTGTTTCTTCTTTTTTTATTTTTCGGCAATTGTCGCCAGGACAATGATGTCATGTGGGGTGGGGGAATCCTCAGAAGCCTGCCAAGAATGTACACAAAATCTAATTACCGAAGGACTTTTAGGTATTGGTGAATCGATTTTAATTGCCAGAGCTTTAATACCTTACCATGCGGTCTTAAATTCATGTTGTACTTATCCGGGTCATATTTTTAAAAGCAAATTAGGTATCTGGCTTATCTACTACGTTATTATTTGTATCAAAATTTGATCAGGCTGGGAAAAATCGATGGGTCTAATAGCTTTATCATGTACTAAAACTGTGTATCGTTGGATGGAAAGCACACACACTTGCATTGCCCATGAAACATGTAACCAATCTAATGAGATCCCTCTATGCATGTCCTCGATCGTCCTGCAGTCGCCCAGCCGCCTGGAGACCTCCGAACAGACCACAGGCCGCCAGCTGCAGCGGGTCCTCCACTACTCGATGGCTCCTAGCCGGGCACTTCCGGGACTAAGACGCGCCGAGTGCGCCATCCACGACGTTGACTGTGATGAGGTCTACCCGGGCATCTACATTGGCGATGCGTAAGTGGCAGGCCAATTGGTTAACACTCCTTAATGATATTTAACCTTGATCTTAGTGCGGCGGCCAAAAACAAAACGTATCTGCGGATGATGGGCATCACCCACGTGCTGAACGCGGCCGAGGGATGTCGGTATGGCCAGGTGGACACTGGACACAGCTACTACCGCGATATGCCCAGCATCAGGTTAGTCCAATGTGCTTTTGCTGAACCGACAAGAGGCAACAACATGAACAAGCGAAAGGAAGGCAATGTGGCATCAACTTTCGCTCAAAATTTGTTCATATTTTGTTTTGAATCGCACACAGTTTTGATTTCGACTTGATGCTGCACACCCATGCATTTCAAAATTTCATTCAAAAACTATTGCTGTTTTTCTTTCTCTCTTTTACCGTTTTGTCCACCCACGTAAATGCCACACATCCGTGCCACACATCCGTGCCACTCTTCATTATCACTGTATTGCACTGAAACATCGCCACCATTATCCATTCTCACCTCGATTTTGGCTCAACTGTGTTGTTGCTGTTTGTTGTGTGTACTGTGTGTGTTTGTTTGTGCAATAGACGCAGCCATAAGGATTGTGTTTTTAGATACATGGGCTTCCCCATGGTCGATGCCCCCACGACAGACATCTCGCGCTACTTCTACGTGGCCTCCAAGTTCATCGACAGCGCCATCAGCAGCGGCGGTAAGTGATGTGGCTCCTCTACCACAATGATGGGAATCCCCACTAAAGCGCTTCTCTTTCCGTAGGCAAGATCCTGGTCCACTGCCTGGTGGGCATGTCGCGGTCGGCCACCTGTGTGCTGGCCTACCTGATGATCTGCCGGAAGATGTCGGCGGTGGACGCGATACGCACGGTGCGGATGAGGCGCGATATTCGGCCGAATGACGGATTCCTGCAGCAACTGGCCGACTTGGACATGGAGCTAAAGCGCAAGAACCTGTATCCCTACTAATACCCTTTTTGTGCGACTTGCGATTTGGGACGGGGAGCCTGAGAGACAACCAAAGATCCAGGAGAGCAATAACGGGGGTAAACGGCTTGGATCTTGAGGGGATCCGGCGACTAACCAAAAGAAAACAGAAAAAACAGAGTTTATAATTATGAAATGAAAATTGAAAATTGAAAATCGTTGTTCTAAACAAAAAAAGAAATGGAAGCCTACAAAGCTAACGACTTATAATGGTAACTTGGTCTTCTGATATATAAACTGTTCATCCCCAAAACTGTATAATCGCGGCATACCCATATTGTAGGACTAATGTATACACAGCCAGCCATAAGGGAATCAAGTTATCTCCACTCTCACTCGAACACACACTTAGAGACCTAGATTGGTAGTAGAGCCACGATCGAAGCCATACGAGGCGATCAACCTATATACCTTGCCTATACCTAGACGTACAGATTTATATACTATACATGTATTCCGGACCCACATCTATGCGTATTTTTTCTAAGGCTCTCATCTGTGTTAGCGTTCTGTTTCATCCCATATACACCAATCCCATATACACCAATCCCCCAATCCTATAGCAAGCCCAAATCCTCCATATCCCAAACATATATGTAGATGTACATATAAGAAGAGCTGAAACTAGATCATGAACAATGTTTGCGCGGACACAAACGTAACCAGATGCATATATACTGATATATAACTGTGTAACGGATATACAAGCATGCGTTATATACACCTATACCATATATATACTATATACACCAAGTGTGGACAATGTAATAAAACCAAATTCATATTTTCTAGAACATGTACGATGTTTAAGAGCAGACGAAACAAATAACTAAACCAAATCAAATGAGCAGAACAAGTAACTAAACTAAAAGTAAACTTAAGGAGTGATTAATAATAAAAACCAAAACAAGAACAAAAACAAAAGCAAAAACAAAATCATTGAAAAGTATGAAGTTTGTAATCCACATAGGATAATGTAATGGAATGAAACCAAATGTATTGAAGAATCTGTACTTACTGTGGTAAGATTGCTGTAGTTTTTGTAGATTTCGAAAGGGCAAAACTGCTCCAGTTCCTAAATCACATAGAGACCTTGCTGAAGTGTGAAGGAAATTGAATTCGATTTCCCCAGTTCCCACCCTTTCCCAATCTCAATCCGAATCCCAATCCCATCCGATTTGATGGTGTTGTGGGGTCTCGGACATTAGCTGCGCCTGCTAACTGCCTGGAAACACCTGCAGAGGCATCTTCTTATCGAGGTTCTGGACTCACCAGGCTCAGCTAGGCGCGTAATTAAAACAGATGATATTGGCTACCTGGAACTGGGGCTGCTGCTAACCGCATAGTTGACCCTAATTTGAAACTATCAATAACTGCGGCGAACTGACCCAAAACACTGGCGAACCAGAACCAAGAAGAACTCAGAACTCAGAACTCAGAACACAGAATCCAACGAAGTCACCACAAAGATTTCGATCGTGCGCACAGTCAAAACAATAAAATTAATGTCTCCGCTGGGGTTCACGAAGTTCAAGGGGCTCTCGGCTAGGTTGGGATCAGCGGGTGCCACTTAAGTGGTCCCGAAATGGAATTCCTCTAAGCCCTAAACAGGTAGCAGTTGTTAAGCGTCGTTGGACAACAAATGGAACAACAACAGAACACCGTCTTCTGGCTGCAAACACTTCTGCCAGCCATAAGACACCAAAACAGTCTGTTTAGAGTGCACAAATGCCTCTGGTATGCATACTAGGCTGATGGAACTCGACTTTGGCTGATACGATATCTAGGAAAATTGGTATGCGGGGTGCTAATACATTAAAAAGTGTTATAAACAGTAAATCAAAGCACTGTGTGTGGTAGTCACTTTGATATGTCACGAACTTGGCCTGGTATTGGGGGTATCTAGGGAAATTAAAATCTTGTCACTAGTCCAAACGATCTTGGGAAACGTAGTCATATTCTGTAACCTACTACAATATGATGTATTTTCCTCATGTCTCGGCTTTTAGTGCAATAATATCCATGTAAGTTGGTATGCATACATAAACTCTGAAGTAAGAAGCTATAAAAGGTAGGTGAAGTGCATTCCTTATTCGTAGAGGAGCTACTTGTTTTCGGATCAGGTCAAATGGCAACAGAGACGATGTCCAGCGGCGTTGTTGGTATTTTCGACTGGCCTTTTCGGGAATGTCCATGGCTAAACTAGTTTCTCGGTTTCCCAGGCCTCGACCTAAGCTGCTAGAAATCATTTTTCAAAGCCCACACTTAAGACCCGCACTTCATGAAACAGCTGGCCCCTCGAGCCCGCGATATGGACCATACTTAACTATGGCCACGTCCCCATCCACATCCATGTCCCTTCGCTCCAGAGGGTGACACATGCTCGGGATACGCAGACCAGGAGTGGGTAAATGGATGAGGACTCTATGCACATGAAACAATTATTATAATTAATAAGCTAGTTTTGTTCTATACCACGTGCCACCTCTCCAGTTTGCCCGTTCCTTCGAATTGCGTTATAAGATTAAGCATGAAAAATGTTACGAATTTTCCTCTCGCATAATTAATCTTCATCTGGTGCTATGTTTGCCTCTCCATGTGGGGAATGGGGAGGGGCTGGTTTCAGGGGAGGATTTTACATGCGAAAGAGTTAAATAATTATAAGTACACACACTACTCACGCGCGGTGTGCGGATGGCAAGCCGCCTGTACACAGAAAAAAAAGAGTACAAATTATTTATTTAGGTTTGCCAATAAAGATGGACAATGTTCTCGGATTTTAGAAGAGGAAGGGCGGCCCCAAATAGCTTTCATATTTAAATAATACAACATGCCTTCAAAAATGAAAATAAACATTGAAAACGTGTTTATACACATTTTTCGTGGTGTATTCGCCACTATACTCCCCTTCGAATTGTCCTTTTAAGCTCTACAAATAGTTGATGGCCCAGCAGCTGTGTCCCGGCGAATCAGGAGCAGATAGATTGCCACGATGAGTCCAGGTTTCCGTTGGCACAGTTGGAATTACCTTGTTACTGGTTTGTTTGAGCACCTGTAATTGTTTACGGAACCTGTATGTGTGTTGTAATGTTATTTATATCCGTGCCAACGCAGATATCCTTCGGATTGAATTGATGCGAAATTAAATGTAGTCCTGTCATAGGAACTCTGTAACAGTGCAAGTTATATTCACCCAGTAATCAGATCGAAGACTAACCCTTTTTTTTGAGTCTTTTTAATAAATTTGTTTACCAAAATGTGCTCGTGAAGAGCTTAAAACCTAGTGACGATCGCACCTCCAACACATAATAATTTCAGCAAGTCCAATATCTACTTCCAACATTTCCGTCCAAAAGTCTCCCAATTCTGCACTTTTTTTAAACTGATCTGCTACGTTTATCCTGCAGCGAATACCACGGGAACATCCTCAGAACATTTACCCATCCACTCCGCTGCGCATGCTCCCTCGGAGGCATCCCATCTCCACCCACGATCCCATGAGCTGGTGACCGTTCTCGTCCGAACGAGCCATCTTGAGGATCGGTCTCTAGTGGCATTCTGACGGTTCGTGTTCGAAGGTTGGTTTCGTTTTCGGATCGAAAATGTGGTGGAGTTTAGGTACTGTAACTAGTAACTTGTGGCACTTTTGACTTGAATTTGAATTTCAAAGATTACGAATGATTTCAGAGAGCACAGACACGATACGTTCCCTTTCGAGGATTGGAATAAACTCTACAAAACTCTGTGCTGTGACAGGTGACAGAAGCCCAAATATTCACAGGGCCTACCCGATTGCTCACAGAAAATGAGCCACGGAATGAAATATTTATAGTAGCACGCTCTCTCCAGGTGCGCTTCGTCACTACGTGAACGGCCGTCCATAGTGATGCATTTCGGGGTATTCATTTACATTCAGCACAGAAATGTTCAATTGACAGCGTTAATTTAATGTGCCCACAAAATAATAAAAGTTAAGAAAATTTGAATTCATTTTTACACTCGAGCGCTTTGTAAAGCGATTTTTTATTTTATTTTTGCGAAATTTTTAATGAGCTCAGGAGCTCTGGGAATCGCAGCAATTTGGATGGGCTTACTGCGCACAAACTAACGCAACTTGAGCAAATATTAAATGCATTTTGGGTATTCAACGAAAATGGGCAAATTCAAAAGGGAAAATCCCAGATGAAAGCGATGCGATGCAAAAGCCGAGATGAGAAATTTGTGGATGCTCGACCGAGTGAAAAACAATAAATAATGCAGCCAATTAAAACTTTGGCTGTTTGGCTTCAAATTCAACACCAATAGCAATAACACTGCGATGGCCAACAACAAATGAACATGAGCATGCACATAACAACAAATGCAATAACAACTAATTGACAAACAACAGAAAATTGAATGCAATAAAGCACATGGCATGTGGGTTAACTTATATAGCATGTACGTAAGCGTTATACATGCCACCGTTCCGATACGAACCCCATATATATACATATATATATATGTTCGCCCATCGGAAGCACGCACTTAGCCATAGATATATGCTATGCTATATCCTATATGGCCATCTATCTGCTCGGTGTGATGTGATGGACAGACAACAATCAATTAAAAATGGGAAGAGTAACGGAGTAGCAGAGCTAGCGCGACTAAAGCATACCCTGTGGTAACAGCAGTAACTTGAGCACTGAGTGTACTAGAATAATAATTATAGTATTATAATATGTCGTGGTATTTAGCCAAATCCAACTGTAATTTATTCATTACGCAACCTCTTTTAAAAGTAATTATTATGAAGTTCGCATTATACTCCGATTATGAACCCGAGAACCCATTCTTTTCGCAGTGTATCGACAAAAAGCGAAACAAAACCAGGAAAATCAATGCAATTTGACAGGAACACGGCGCTGCAGCAGCATCAACTGACTGAGAAAAAGAAATAAAAGCAGCTACAGGCCGTCCAGCCTCTCGGCTACTCGAAATTATTATTATAAACTTCTTCACTTTTAATGGAATTGTTATCAAAACACATTAAAAACGACAGACAAGCAGAATGAGTGAGTGAGTGTCGGTTGGAGGGGGTACGAGAGCAGGGGAGGGAGGGGGCATTGGGGCGGTAAGAGGACGGCAAGGGGGCGGGGCTGGTGGAAGCTGGACGGACACGCAAGCCGAACGCATCGCCACGAGAACCAATCAAATGCACTTTGTCAATGCCAATTCACACAATAAATCTACAGCCAGATAGCAAAGTGCCGGACAAGACCGAGGGGTGCGGCGGGGGGCTGGGCAAGAGGGGGGCCCCAGATGTGCACGGAGAAAAAATGCAGGTCACTCTGGGTCTAGGAAATATTTTATGGTATCCCAAAACATACAGCAATAGTCAAAGACATTGCTTCTTATGTCTGGTGACCCCGATCTGTTATGGTAAGGGTATTATAGGTAAACATATTTTAATAATGCTATTTTTATAATAAATATTTTAATAAAATAAAAAATTAGTTGTTTTGAAACTTCTCGCACCCGTATTAGTGATGATTTCTTGTTATTGTTATACATTTTGAAATTATCTGACTATGAATTCTTTAAAACTTATTCTTGATTTAGTAAGATTTACAAGAATGAAGAGAATATTTAAAAATAAATTTTTAAAGGTGTGGGCGTGAGAGTTTTGTGCGGATTGTGGCAAAAATTCTTTTGGCAAATCTATAGAAATTTACAAGATATATAAAAAAGTGAAAGAATACCACAACGTTTTTCAAAAGTGTGGGCGTGACAGTTTTGGGCGGTTTATGGGCGTCGGGGTGGGCATTCAGAATGCATGCATGTTTTTAGAAATTGCGCCAGAAACATTTAGAGGTATGCCACTTCAAAATCCGATTAAGATAAGCTGAGTTATGGAGTTTAGAACTTCAGC